AGATACTTACCACCAAAACCAAATAAGCTTGCAAACACTTCTTCTGGAGACATAGAATTACCTCCGCCAGAGAGCCCATCTTCACCATATTTATCGTATATTTCACTATAAAGTAAAAGTTCTTGTAGAAGGACGCGTTTATACAATGCTGCAGCTGAATCTGACCTGTTCCTACCGTTTCTCTGGATCACACAAGGTTTCATATGCATGACTAATTTCTTTGAATTTTTCAGAGGCTGCTTCGTCAGGATTTTTGTCTGGATGATATTTCATCGCCTACAGTTATAACTCAAATTATAAATTATTATTGCTTTTTTTATTTTTTTTTTATTTTTTTAAGCTTTATAAATGTGGTCATAGGACTTGCTCATGTATTGTGAAGTTTCATGAAACTTGTACTATTGCTGGCTTAATTAGCAAAATGAAGGTATGAATCTTATTTTTCTCAATTTTAATACATCTTCAGAGCAATAATTGTACATAATTGCTCGTCCGTTTTGATTTTTTCTTTTTTTTCCTTTTTTATTTTTTATTTTTAATTTTTTTTTTTTGATACATCGTAGATTATTATTTGATCTTAGCAATTCCTCTGATCACGTAAAGTGTACCCAAAACTTACTAATTTTCGGTATGCCTGCACATATTTGTAAAAAAAAAAAAAAAAAAATTAAAATCTTCTGCAGAGTTTAAAATATAATGCTTGTTGCCTACCTTTTTGATTTCATTTTCAGTGGCAGTCGGTTCAACACCAAGAACTTCATAATAATCAGTGTGTCTCATTGCGATAACAGATCAAACTAATAAATTTATAAGCTAGAGAAAAGTACAGAATTACTTTTCTATTCAGGTCGCCTTGACATACAATTATTTAAAATATATATGTATATGCCCAGCAGCCCGGCCAACAGTTGTAGCTGTAGTTTAATTTTTCGAAGGCGACAAAAATGCTAGTGCTAGGTCTGTAGATATCTCGGATTCATTATTATACATATAAGTATAGCATAAGGAACATGTGAACATAGTTTTAAAAAAATTTATTGGATAATAAAATCAGTATACGTATACTATATACACAGGATGATATATTGGCAAGTAATGCAACACGTGATAATTTTTATAATAAAACAGAAATTTTTACTCTATAATAAAAATTTGAGTAAAAATTTTTAGAAAAAAATTTTTAAAAAAAATTTTTTTAGAATTAATTTATTGGTAGCCGGGGGCTATATGTAGCCATACTATTTTATATAGAAAAATTGTACAGCCTATTAACA